CAATTACAGTCTATCGATGAAGAAAATTGTATGACAGTTTAAAATCCAACATATTTAAACGACTCTACAAATGTGTTCGATTTACACTAAGAGCAAAGATATGATTTACAGGATATACTTGGCGATTTCAAGACCAATCTATGGTGGCTGAGTTTGTAAGCAAGCCCAACCATGACCAACTGGACTCACTATCAAATTGTCAATTACTCCACTCTCTTTCTAGTGTGTGTTGATGCCTAAATTGCTTTACTACTGTAGAGTTAGTTTGTTTTTCAGTCCAGTATTAACTATGGCCACATGACTTATGGTCCCTATTGATCCTAAACTAATCCTCATCCACTGAAAACCTTTGAGGGAGAAGCTAATTGGGTCAATCTACCAAGTGGATGAAGATTTAGAAATATGGTATAAATAAGAAATTATAAAGGCCTGGTTTCTGCTGAAAATCAATATGGGATGTAGGCATTTCCCAATAAAATGAGCAAGGATCTTATGCCATACAGTGGTTATACGAGTGAATTAAGGAAATATAGTTCGTAGCACCTTACATTCCCACCTCCACCACTAAAAGATTCATCAATCAAAGGATTTCGGTTAACTTTACACTTGACACATGGGATGCTCGAAGTTCAATTCGAGGTTAACAATAGTAAAACAATTCAAGAACAAAAAACAAATGTTAGGGTTTAATTGAAGTACCTGAGATGTTAAATCAGCAGCAGTGTAAATGAGGGCAGATGTGATGCTTTTGGTAAAAGCAAAGCCTCGAAGGGAACTAGGAATTAGGGAACACGAGGGCGAGACTGGAGCGGTCGAGTGGAGACGAGGTCGAACCGTCGAAGCAAAACATCTGGACTGATACTATAGATGGGCTTGGGCTTGGGCTTGGGCTATAATAATGCCTCTTGGGCTGTGGATTGCTTCTGGACTGATACTATAGACGGGCTTGGGCTATAATAATACCCCTAGAGATGGCCAAAATTCGGTCCCGGGCCGGTCCTTAACCGGTCCTTACCGGTCCTAATCAAGACAAAAACCGATGGTAACCGGTCCAGCCATAACCGGTCCCGGTTCCGGTGAAATACCTTGTAACCGGTTAAGGAATCCGGTCCCATAACCGGTCCCATCCGGTCCCGGCCAAAAAAAATATTTTTTTTCCAAATTTTTGTTTATTAATAAATTATTAATATGTTATTTTTAATACGTTTTATTTACACTACAACATTAATGGTTCATTCCTACTTCACTAATTTTGTCCTCCAACTAGTTTTAGTCACCTAAGGCGTTTATCTTTGAAATTAGCTATTGCATGACTCCATTAGTCCATCATGCGTTTCATATAATCATATTTAGGGTCTTGACCAATGACAATCATGAGTTTCATATGTAAAATTGCAAAATTAAGGGAGAACAGTCAAGTGAATTAGGGTCTTGACTAAGGACAATCATGAGTTTCATATGTAAAATTGCAAAGTTAAGGGGGAACAGTCAAGTGAATTAGCTACTGCACATTCAAGTGAGGGCAAATCATCACTTACCTACTGCACATTCAAGTGAGGGCAAATCATCGCTTACCTACTGCACATTTATAGGTCTATTCAACTATATTATAGCTGCTGAAATTGTGTTAATATACATCAAATCTAATGGGATTAGAACAATCGGTGGATGATAATTTGAATATTAATCACAKAACGAATTGATTCGATGAACAACTAGATCAATTAATAGCAATAGTATTCATTTAACTTTAAACAAACATAAGAAGTATATAACTTATGCCATGAACAGGAAACTTCAGTTGAAACTCATTAACATAAAAACTTACTTGTGTAGTTGAAGAGTCGGTCAATCCAAGAGAAATCGACAATTTAGCAGTGTGTGATGAGAAGAGGGACCGGGGGTAGTCCAGATTCTTTGAAAGTTGAAATAACTTTGTTTCTGCAATCATAATAATGACAACAATTATCAACAAAAGAACAATCTAATCTATTATCTAAGTCTAAACTATAATCAAAAAATAAATAAACCTAATCTAAACTAAAGTCTGAACATTAAACAAATAATGAAATAAACCTAACCTAATCTAATAAAACAAACTACTAAACTTGAGTCTAGAAACACCATTACATCACAATATCAACACACACACAATTAGAAATTTCAAATTTCAAATTTACCACAAAAAATTAAGATTTGGAGCCAGAGCAGAGGGCGGAGAAATCAAAATCTAGAAGAATAAACGTTTACCAAATTAAACAGTGATGAGCGAGATCGACAAAGGCATAGAGAGTTCACGAGACAACGAGAGCGAGAAGCCGAGAGCGACGTCGGGAAATGGCCAAATGGGAATCGAGAGTTGGCTCGTACATCGTTGATCGTTCTTGAAGCGAGGCCGAGAGACGGAGAGACTGGAGGCGGTCGACGCCTTTGGAGTTTGGCCCTTGGTCTATATATGGATTACTAACCGTAATTTTTTAGGCCCAACCCAGATGAACTTGCCCAAGTATAAATGGGCTTCAAAAAGTGATGCCCTTGACCTTTTTTTTTTTTTTGAAGTATATAATATACGGCAAATAGAACAAATAAAACTCACACACTCTCCTCACCTAAGGCAAGGTTCGAACCCTTGACCTTCTAGCATACCGCTAGCCAGGCTCGGCCCTATCTGTGATACCATTGTTTACAACGTGTTAACAACACCAAAGTTAAAACCCACACCATGCCAATTCACGTACGAGATCTCGATTCTTCACGTTCAACTTGCATATGTAAAGCATAACTCTTATGTGATTCAATGCATTAACAAGTTTTTACATGATATATATATATATATATATATAT